GAGGTGCAAAACCAACTTGGTGATGCCTTCAACGCCGTCAAGGCACAGGTGCCTGAAACCGTTGACTACTTGGTAAGACGCACTGATACACCTTTTATTGTTGATATTGTCAATAACCCTCTGCCTTCAAAATTCAAGATGTCCACCATCAAGATCTTCGATGGCACCAAGGACCCGTTCAACCATCTTGACACATATAAGTCCCTCATACAACTTCACAACGTGCCTAAAGAGATTATGTGCAAAGTCTTCCCTACCATCTTGAATGGGTATGCTCGCCAGTAGTTCTCCAAGTTCAGGCCCTCCTCCATCAACTCTTTTGCCGAGTTGAGTAGGTCTTTCATCTCTCACTTCATTGGGAGATGCCGACATCAGAAATCAGTGACCCATCTGATCACCATCAAGCATGATAGGGATGAAAGTCTTAGAGACTACCTTCCCCGCTTCAATGAGGAGATTCTCCAGGTTAAGGAGCCAGATGATAAAGTAGCTATAGCCACCTTTATCACCAACCTCTGCACCTTTAGTTTTATGTTCTCAGTCCTCAAAAAGCCACCCTCATGCATGCCCAAGTTACTGTCAAGGGCACAAAAGTATATGAACGCCGAGGGTGTCACCAAGGTCAGACGAGGTGAGTCCTCCTATGGGGGCGAAAAGAGGAAGGGATACCCACAAAGACAGGAGAGAAGTAGAGAACAAAAGGAATAGGACAAAGAAAATATTTGCCAAGGACCGCCTTGGTCCCCCACCTCTAAGAGAACGACAAGCTTTCACGCTCAATGCTTACGTGGAACATATCCTGTTCCAAATACAGGATGATTCCACACTCTATTGGCCCGAAAAAATGAAGTCCGTCTCAAATCGCAAAAATTCCAGAAGGTAATGTAGTTTCCATCCCGACCACGGCCATAATACGGACGATTGCTTTGATCTTAAAAGGCAGATCGAAGAACTCATACAACATGGTCATTTGAGGCAGTACGTTGCTGGAAGAGGACAAGCCCTACCATCTAGTAAAGACCAGGACGATAGAGAATGCCAATAACCCCTTAGAGAAATCCAAACGATCTTCTGAGGGTTGGGAGGAGAATTGACTCAAATTTTGCTAAGAAAACCTCGACCCAAGTATGGGACACCGAACACTAGAAGAATTTATATATCCTTTATTGTTTTAGTTGATTTATTTTATTATCTGTTATTTTATAAAATAAAATTTTGCGAAGATTATTGTGTCCAGAATTGTCTTATTTTCCTAAAATTTACAAATAGCTTATAAAGTTAAAACATGGCTTAACAATAAGGTGTAGACAAAAGGACAATAGTCGTCATACTCCCGACGATTAGTCACTGCTCCCTGAGCCGCAACCACTATAATCAAGACTCTCCCTGTCATCAATTACTACTAGTGTCTCATAGGGGATGAAATCAGAGAAATTGACAGTGGCCCTCTCATCAAGCGCCCAATTTCAGGCTCCCAGTAGTAGGCGCTGCCTAGGTTGGCATCACCCAGGTCGACAGTGCCTAGGCTGGTTGTCGCCCGCCAGGCTTACTATTGTCCATCTTTTGCACCCCACCCAAGAAAACCTTTCTACTCCTAGCACTAGCGCCCCTCGATGTCCATGCTCAGAGGCACCCAGGCGCCTAGCACTAGACGTCAACACCACCAGGCGCCCATCACTAGGTGCCAATCACTAGGCGCCCAGACTTAGGCATCCAGCCTCAGGCGCCCAGCTCTTTGGCGCCCTCTTTATCTTCTCCATCTCTATAGAGTGAGCCTTTGTCCTAGTAGCTCTCTCAAGTGCTACTTGAAGGTCAGCCTCAACTTTTCAGCGGCATCCTCTCATGCCCTAACAGTTTCACGACATCTTCTCGTGCCTGCCGCTCAAGCACCAACTGCTCTTCAGCATCCTATATCTCCAGTTTCACACTCTCTCGTGTATTGCAAAAAAACTCAGCCTTATTTAGCCTCTGCTACAGTGGTCATATGACTCTACTCTTGCACATGTAGTCACCTTGTAAACCTCTGTTACGGTAGTCATATGACTCTGCTCTAGCGCATGTAGTTACCTTGTAAACCTTTGCTACGACAACCATATGACTTTACTCTCACGCATGTAGTCACCTTGCAAGCCTATACTATGACAGTTATCTCCCCAGACTATATGTAACTCAGCCTATGTGTGACAAGCCTCTACCATGACAGCCATTCCATGAGATTATGTGTAGCTCGGCCTCAATTCATGCGACCGTCTCACGAGACGTCCACATAACTAACTTTGCTCTCATACAAACAACCTGCCTCTTTCTCCAGGTAATCATGTTAGATATTTTAATATTGAGATAACAATATTTTTGCCAAGCACATTGCAACCCACGGGACTATGCTAGATTGACACCGAGCCACTACTAGAAGCATGATAGCTATGTGAAGCTATGATCCCCGTAAGAGTCGCACAAGAGTCTCAACTTTTATAGCGGTATAAGGGCTAGTTCTAGTACACACAAGACTCATAATTTGGGAAAGGAGAGGGGCACCGTCAGATCCCGCTCTCGAGAAACAACTTGACCATCAGAGCAGACTTCGACCAAAAAGCACTAGGGGCACCAGGCCTCGCCTTCTTGGGAGGAAGAGAAGACACCACCCTAAAAACACAAGAGTCTCTACCATCGCTTTGTCAACAGAGCGCCTATAATTAGAGACAAGGTTAATTAGTGACCAAACACCAGAGAAGCGTCGCCCATAGCAAGACTCAAGGTGTCCCCCAAACACAAAAGCACCCAAGGTCTCCTGGCGTCGCCCAAGGCACCCTACCAACTTCTTGGCGTTGCCCAAGGAGTCTACCCAACCTCTGGTGTCTCCCAATACGCCTGCCCAGCCTCCTAGCGTCTCCCAAGGCACTCTACCAAGCTTTTTGGCGTCGCCCAAGGAGTTTGCCCAACCTCTGGTGTCTCCCAATACGCCTACCCAGCCTCCTGGTATCACCCAAGGCACCCTACTAACCTCTTGGCATTGCCCAAGGCGTCTGTTAGCCTCCATGTGGCGCCCATAGTAGCCTTCACCGTTGACGCCAAATTGAAAAAAAAAAAAAAATTGATATTGAAAAATTCAGCTAGTCCCTGAGGATGAAAAGATACCATGGAAAGTAAGAAAAATTCTGACTCACCCAGATGAAGATGAAGTACATGCCCACAACCCCTTCATCTTGCAAAAAGTCAGAGGCTTAGGGCATAGGGGGCATGAGCCCGAATTTGACTGGGTCAAGCCCAATTTAAATAAACCAAGAAAGCCCAATCGGAGCTAGGTCGACCCGCCATGAGGGAACCCAAAAAAGCACCCAAGAGGCCAACGTCCAAGAGGCCAGCGCCCAAGAAGCTAACGTTCAATAGACCAGCACCCAAGAGGCCAACGCCCAAAGCACTTGGGGAGTCGCTGAGGAGGTCACCCAAGCTAGGCGTCGCCCAAGGCTGCCCCTTGGTTCTCTTATGTCTTCTTTATTCCAATGCAAGTCCAGTCCACTCCAACTAAACGTTCAGGCTCACGATCAAGCTCAATCCAACTTAGGGTCTTCTTCCGATTGAATAGGAGCACGAGAGAGAGAATGTCATGATGGAGATCTAAACTTACCATGATTGGTCACTTACCAAAATGGTGGAAAAGACCTCTCAGTCACGTCATCACCTCACTGCCTTTCCCTAACTTCATAATGTACGCCTACTCAACATTGAAGACGCACTTCTGAAACCCCTACACACCTTGCTCCCCTCTCCCAAAGTATTGTAACTCCCTCGGAGAACACTCTCTTGGCAACTTTGGTTCATCAATAAAACACCTCCGGCCACCGCAGCCGTTTCCTAGAGTGGAGAAGGTCACCCGGACCTAACCACTATAAATCTTTGTGTTGATTGCCTATTTACTGCTTTTGCTCTTGATTGTCATTGATTACTTGTTTATTGCTCATTGACTGCACCCTTTCATATTTTTGACTGTTAATTTTACACAACACCCGATTTGTGCATCATCAATCTTAACTGTTGTAGTATTTTTATGAGTTGAGAATTCAACTTTCTAGTCGCAATAGATCAAAATAGATGAAAAAAAAATCTATTTTAACCATTATTATTATTATTATTTTATAAATTGAGAATTCAACTTTTTAATTGTAATATTAGATAGCTTAATTGGTCAATAAGTCAATTTCGTGGCACACTTGTTCAAAAATGTCGTAGCCCACATTGTTACCCGCTTTCCAAGATCCAAAATCGCAGCCCAAATAGTTGTCAAGAACATGGACCCAGCCCAGCCCACTTCTTTATACGCTTGAGCCCAGTAACGAGTGTCAACCCAAATTTTATTTTGGAAAATTACACTTTTAACTTGAAAGATTTTAAAATTCTTAATTTATACTTTTAAAAATTAAACTTCTTACATTTTACCTTGAATGCAACAAAAATATTGTAATATAACTCTTTTGTTAGCTTTCTCTAATTTTTTATCAACTTCAATGGGTTGAATGTTGATGAAAATAATAATAAAAACTAACAGAAACATCATATTATAATATTTTTGATACATTAAAAATATAATATAAAATATTTAATCTTTAAGAGTATAAAATAAAAATTTTAAAATTTGTTGGGTACAAAGTGCGAAAAGCCCTAATAATTCACTGTTAAACTACCTCAACGCTCCTTAAACCCTAGCTCTACCGTTCTCTGCTTCTCTCTCTCCTTCTCTCTCACAGCTAAGCTATCTCCTTCAGTCTCTCACAGCTAAGCTATCTCCTTCAGTCTCTCACCGTGATTGCCGTTGACAAAGATTGGTGAGTTTTCTTCCAATCACTGTTAATATTTTTTGTTTCTATGTTCTTCTCATGTTTTGATGATTTTCCCAATGCTAATATTTTCATCTACCATTGTGGAGAATCATGGTGTTATTATTTATCATTATTGTGTCAATGTTGTTGAGGGTTTTTCAGGAGGTATTTTTTTGGTGGGCGTAAATGGGTAGTAAGAAAAGAGGGTCCAATAGTGTGGAAGACGAAGTCAAGAATCAGTTTGGTATAGGCAATGATAAAGATGTTCCAGAACATTCAAGAAAGAAAATGAAAAGAGAGAAAAAGGACAAGAAGAAAGAAATAAAGGTGGAAGATGGGTCTGCTGGCCCATCTGTAGCTCCTGATTATGTTAAGCCAATGGAGAGAAAAAAGAACAGAAAAGCACTGGACAAAGAGAGACACCGAGCCGAGTCCGAATCGAAGCCAAAGCAGTTTGTGTTGGTGGTAGCAGAAGATAATGATAGTGAAGTGTTAATGGCGAGCTCGCCGAGTGCAAGTAGTTGTGGGTTGCCTGAGTTCCACATTGGTGTTTTTAAGGAACTTGCTTCTGCTGATGTATTTGTAAGGGAAAAGGCTGCTGAAGCGTTGGTGATGGAGTTGGTGGAAGTTCAAAAAGCTTATGATAAGCTTGAGGACAAGGTGTTGGTTGAGGGTGGGTTGAAATTGGAAGCTGAAAAGGATGATGGATTGAATAATTGTGCGCCTTCTGTGAGATATGCTGTTCGGAGGCTCATTCGTGGTGTATCTTCATCAAGAGAGGTATGTTTTGTTGATTTTGTTCATATCTATGTGTATAGTTTATCTTTTGCAAGTTTTGGGTGTGGTGCCTTTATTTTTATACTTGTGAATTGCTGCTCGAAAGGGAGCCCTTCTCATCTTAGTGAGTGGAAGTGGATAGGTTCTATGTGAACATATTGTAGCTTTGTATTGCTTCAGTGTCTTCACTGATTTAATGTATATTACTTTTTAAAGAGCAGTCTGCTTTGGTGGATGAAGCTCACACATATCATGTTCGTAATTTTTATATCTGTGCTACAACTGGTACTGATGTTTGATTATAGCTCTGTTTTGGCAACTATATTTTCGTTTTAAGGTGTCCATTGCATGCATCATGTGTTGTGACCACGCAATCAATTTTAAATTCTTTCAAAAACAGTGGACATGTATGTGAGATGCCTGTCATGGTTTTCAGACGCCAAAGGAGTCTTTTATCTGCCGCAGTGTTGGATAGACATGACTCCTCCTAAGAATTTTTTGTGCATCATACTGAAAAGTGCTCGACTGTTTATAACATTATAACTTTGTTACCTGACTTGTGGCCTACGTGTGGTTTGTTATTTCTTTTACAGTGTGCTAGACAAGGCTTTGCATTGGGTATGACTATTTTAGTTGGTGCAATTCCTAACATTGAGGTGAACTCCTTGCTAAAACTCATTATTGATTTGTTGGAGGTCTCTTCTTCAATGACTGGTCAGGTGGGCAAGCATGAGTTCATGTCTTAAGTACATTTTGCTCAGGCAGCATTCTTTTCATGTGAAATTTCATAATATGATTTTTGTGGCATTTGCAGGAAGTGAGGGACTGTCTTCTGGGTCGCTTGTTTGCTTATGGAGCTCTTGGGCGATCAGGAAGACTAACTCAAGATTGGACTTCTGATAAAAACTCTATGTATATCAAGGAGTTCACTAGTTCTCTTATCTCTCTTGCAACCAGGAAGCGGTACTTGCAAGAACCCGCTGTTTCAGTTATTTTAGAATTGGTTGATAAGGTACGTTATCCTAGTGAATCTCTTTGGTATTTGTTGTGTATTAATTGAGGACATATTACGAAACTTTTAGATACTTGATTAGTTTCTTCCAAATTAGGACCTAATATCGTTTATCTTACGGATTTTATTACTGTGTTGTATGTTTAGTCTTTGGTTTTTCTAATTCGAGTGCAATGTTAACATAGTGGGGTTGAATTAATATGACAACCAATGCTCAGGATGGATCTAAAGCTCAAGATGTATACACTCTTCCCTGAATTTGGAAGGTCCTTTATCACAATCACGAAGTTTCTAAAGAAAATCATACAACTATACTTCTAAACTTGTACACCTGTAAAACTTTCGAATGTCATCGTATGGATGCAGTAATTGAACTTGTTGGAAGTTGAATGAGATTACAGGCTTGAACTGATTGGAGTGCTACTGAGGATAATCTCCACTAATTTCCACTTTCCTATTTTTTAGTCTGTCACTAAATTCTAATATTAGGATCTCAGGTACCTGCAACCATCATGATCATGTCCTGTTCTATAGCTTCTTGATTCCTATTGTTTGAAAATGTGTGTTGACAAATACCCACATAATACACGACGGGACTTATATATATGATGCATGTATTTTGATGGTATTCATTTCTATGATCTGTGTGTTTGTTTTATACTAATGCAATTACTTTATTTCCTCTGTTACTTGATCCATTTAACACGTTGGACGTTGCTAATGGTGTTGTAGTTACCTGTCGAAGCCTTGCTGAATCAGGTTCTTGAAGCTCCAGGGCTTCAGGAGTGGTTTGAAGGAGCCACTGAAGTTGGAAATCCTGATGCATTGTTTTTAGCTCTTAAGATGCGAGAAAAAATTTCTGTTGACAGCAGAGTGTTTGGCAAGCTTCTGCCTTATCCATATTGCTCTAACGGGCTTTTTTCTGCAGATCATCTTTCGTCACTTGCTAATTGCTTGAAGGTAATGTATATATTCATCTTATTGCAGCAAGCATTTCTATTGAAGAACAAACAAATCTTATTTTTGTCTTGTATTCTTGTCAAATGTTGCAGGAGTCGACCTTCTGCCAACCTCGAGTTCATAGTGTGTGGCCTGTTTTGGTAAATACTCTCTTACCTGATAACGTTGTGCAAGATGTAGATAAAGCATCAGGTTTGAATTCCATCAGGAAGCACAAAAAGAATCGCAAGTATAGCTCATCCGAAGAAGACATTGAGAAAAATATTCGGAGTTTCTGCGATGTTATCATTGAAGGATCCCTTCTCATGTCATCTCATGATCGTAAGCACTTGGCACTTGATGCTGTGCTTCTTCTACTACCGAAGCTGCCTGCCTCTTGCGTTCACATTATTCTGTCGTACAAACTTGTGCAGTGCCTGATGGATATACTTTCCACAAAGGACTCTTGGCTGTTCAAAGTTGCACAATTTTTCCTAAAAGAATTGTCTGATTGGGTCAAGTATGATGATGATAGAAGAGTAGCTGTTATTGTGGCCCTGCAAAAGCACAGCAATGGGAAATTTGATAGCATTACTAGAACCAAAACAGTTAAAAGTTTTTTGGAAGAATTTAAAACTGAATCTGGCTGCATGCTGTTCATTCAGAATTTGATGAGCATGTTTCTGAATGAGGGTAATGCTTCAGAGGAACCTTCAGATCAGAGTCAAACAACAGATGACAATTCAGAGATAGGTTCAATAGAGGATAAGGATTCTGCTGGGACATTGGGAACTCCTGATTTTTTGAAAAGTTGGGTTGTGGATTCTCTACCGGGTGTTTTGAAACACTCTAAACTAGACCCTGAAGCAAAGTTCCGGGTGCAAAAAGAAATTCTGAAGTTTTTAGCCATTCAAGGTCTATTCTCTTCATCTCTTGGAACTGAAGTGACATCTTTTGAGTTGCAGGAGAAATTTAGATGGCCAAAAGTACCCACCTCAAGTGCTCTTTGCAGAATGTGTATTGAGCAGCTCCAACTGTTGCTGGCAAATGCTCAAAAAGGAGAGGCGCCTCATGCAGTGGCTAGTGGCCTCGAGGCAAATGATCTTGGGTCATATTTTATGCGGTTTCTTAGTACATTATGCAACATTCCTTCAGTTTCACTTTTTAGGGCCTTGGGCAGTGATGATGAAAAAGCATTTCAAAAATTGCTGGAAGTTGAAACCAGGCTATCTAGAGAGGTACTACTGTAAATTAAAATTCTTGATTCTTAACTTGTCCTATGCTACACTGACAGTCAATGCTGCTGAGGGCCTTCCCCTATCTTGGACGGCTGCTTTGAGAAGAAGACAAAAGAAAGGAGGATGATTAGTAGTATCTTAATATTAGAGCTCTGACATGGGACAATTATATTTATTCGTGGAATTGGGACAACTTGCAATTAGTAGTATAGTATTCAACCTTCTGATGGGGTGTCACTGTAATACAAACTCTGGGAAAATTTTGAAATTGCTTCGTACAGATTTATTTGTTCTCGTGGTTGTTTAATTTGACGATCTCCTTTTAAGGCCCATTTATGGTGAACATTTGGTAGGATTCAGGATTTTGTACTTAAGAATTGTGCTTATCAAGTTTGTCTCAATAGTTTTTTACCCTTAAAAAGCCTTTTTTTATCTGTACATTCACTGTTCAGGTAAACTGGTATTACATTTTGTGATATTCTATAATGATGACAGGAAAGGAATTGCGGGCTCAGTACAGATGCAAATAAATTGCATGCCCTGAGATACTTGCTCATCCAGTTGCTGCTGCAAGTCATACTTCGACCTGGGGAATTCTCTGAAGCTGCCTCTGAACTTATTATATGCTGTAAGAAGGCTTTTGGTGCTTCCGAACTCCTGGATTCCTCTGGAGAGGATGAACCAGATGGTGATGGAACCCCCAAGCTAATGGATGTCCTTGTGGATACATTTCTTTCCTTGTTGCCGCAGTCATCAGCACCTATGCGATCTGCTATTGAGCAGGTGAATGCCAGACAGCAATTTTGGTTTCTCCGCAGTTGACTTCTTATGTGTGTGTATTGGTCTTGATTGTTTATATTGACTGCACTCCTATTTGATATATATGGGAAATCTTCAATATGATTGTTAAAATAATGAGGTTGGGTTGAATACTATGCCTTTGATGGACTAGTTTCATTAGATTTGTATGCACATGCACCTACAAAAGAGTATATTTGACTTTGAAGTACTACACTTTGATTGAATTAGGTTGTAGCTGCTTTGCCAACAGTCTTTGTAGGATGCATGCATCTTGTTGGGGGCATGTCAGATTCAAGTTCCACTATCAAATCTTTTTCACCAACTTCTTTTTCATTTGGTAGGTCTATATATTTTGGGGAGATTCTGTTAAAGGGTTGGGGGCAGGGGGAAGGAAGTTGAATCTGCTATGCCGAGTATATCTTGCAACAACACTTCCTGTACTGTAGTGGTACCAACTAACAGAACAGAAAAACAGTAGATATCTTAATTTTTTGAGCAAAATGATGCAATAGATCATGATTGCCTAATTTAGAATAAGACCGTGTATTGCCAAGCAATTTATTTGTAGATGCAAACATTTGATATTTCTTTGTTGAGCTTTTCTGATAGTTTCTGGGGTTCATGGGTTATAGACTGAGACTACCTCCCTTGCGTCGTATATAAGAGTTTTCATGTGGACGGTATCTGGTTTATACTTTACAGGTTTTCAAATACTTCTGTTATGATGTCACGGATGATGGACTGCTTCGTATGTTGCGTGTGATAAAGAAGGATCTGAAACCCGCAAGAAAAAAGGATACAGACCGTGAAGACCATGATGATGATGATGATGATCTTGTCGATATCGAAGAAGCAGAGGAATATCAAGAACCTCCTCTTGATATTGGAGCTCCACGTGACATTGAAGAAGCGGAGGAATATCAGGAACCTGATGAAACTGAGACAGGTGAAACCGGTGAGAGTGATGAACAGACAGATGACTCTGAGGCAGTAGTTCGAGTTCAGGCATCTGAGGATGAACCTCCTGAGGACTCTGATGATTCTGATGGAGGAATGGACGATGAGGCCATGTTTCGGATGGATGCTTTTCTTGCACAAAAATTTAAGAAGTCGAATAACCAGGCTGGAAGTGGAACTGCTCACTCCCAGCTCGTGCTCTTCAAGCTTCGTGTTCTCTCGCTGCTGGAGATTTACCTGCATGAGAATCCAGGCAAGTCTTTTGTCGACAAATCTAAGTTTAGATGAGTACTGGGAACCAAATTGCAATGAGTGCTAAATTATACTGGTTATGACCCTTCGACTCCCTACTCTTAGTATTTTTACTGGAGTTTCGGACAATAGTATATAGGGTCCTGGTTGGATTTACGTAGTATTCAGTAGCCAGGACACAATTTAGTCGTTTATGGAGTTTTTGAAAACAGCCTTTTTGCCGAAATTTGATTCAAAATGGGGGAACAATTTCTTGATTTGAAATCTTCCTAATGATCGAGTGGGTTGCATTCTGATTCAGAAAGCCCAAAGTCTAAGATTTAACAATAGAAAAAATGATATCTAGTATAGTCCAATTATGGTGGGCCTGGGAGGGGTGGATTGTGTACAAGCCTATCCTTTCACATTATTTGCATAAATAACTACCCTCAGGTTTGAATCCACAACGGCAAGATTATTGGGTTGAACTTTAACCACTAAACAATTGGCCCACTGTTTCATCATTGCAGCGATCTTGTAGTCATATTGTAGTGAACTCATCTGTACTGAAATTTCATTCTGTATGAGATAATAGCTTGCCTATTTGATGTTCTAATGGCAACGTAGATTTGTTCTGGAGTTGCATTGTTTATCTGTCAGTAACTTTCTAAGGTAAAAACTTGTTTGTGACATGATCCGTGATGGTAGTTTATTCTTCTTCTTTCTGTCTCTCTACACAGGTAAGCCCCAGGTGTTGAAAGTGTTCTCAAACCTGGTACAGGCATTTGTTAACCCACATACTACAGAAGGTAGTGAGCAGCTTGGTCAGCGTATTTGGGGAATTCTGCAGAAGAAAATATTTAAAGCAAAAGATTATCCAAGAGGAGGAGATGTGCAACTATCCCTGCTTGAATCTTTGTTGGAAGAGAACTTGAAGTTGGCATCAAAGCCATTTAAGAAAAAGAAATCGGCAAATAACCCATCAAAAATAAAACAGTCAGCCTCCTGGAATCGACACAAAATGATTACGTCACTTGCTCAAAATTCCACGTTTTGGATTTTGAAGATCATTGATGCACGAAATTTTCCTGTGCCTGAGCTGCAGAGGGTGGTGGATATTTTTAAGGGTTTTTTGACGATTTATTTCAACAGTAAGAAGTCTCAAATGAAACCTGATTTTTTGAAAGAATTATTTAGAAGAAGACCGTGGATTCGTCATCATCTCTTGGGATTCTTTTTGGAGAAGTGTGGTAGTGCAAAATCAGAGTTTCGGCAAGTTGAATCACTTGATCTGGTGATTGAAATATTGAAATCACTTATTTCTGTTAAACCTGATGGAAGTGGCCAGGAAGCATCAAAGAAAATTTTGAAAAGCCATATTCCAAAACTATGTCATCTTGTGCAACAGTTGGTGACAGATATGCCCGAAAAGCAGTCAAGACGGGTTGATGTGCGTAAGTTCTGTGGCAAGCTCTTCCAGTTTTTGACAACCCATAACCTGACCACATCATTTCTCAGAACTTTGGAACCTGAAGTTCATGCTTCTTGCGAATCTCAACTTGGTGAGCTGTTTCTTACTTTGAAAAAGCAGCAACAGTAGGCTGTCTGACTAGTTCTGCTGGAAATATCTCCTTCAAGTGTTTGATTTACAATCAAATTATTGGAAGTTCCTTTCGGTTTGAATGCTAGTGCAGCAAATAACCTCTTGCCCAACACACTACATGGGGCTCTCGACAACTTACTCAAACCGAAATACTACTTTCATGGACATTACTCTTTGGTGATCAATCAAGTTCTACACCAGTGACCCTGGAAGGTGGCAGTTCTTGGTAAAACTTTCTGTTGGTAAAACCTTTATACTTTTCACTTGTCACTTTTAGTTTCACGGTGTTGTCTTGGGTTGTTCATATCTAGGAGAATTTTGATCATAATTGATCCACCATAGCCTATATTATTGGACCTTTCATTTTTGAATTACAGTAGTTTCTTGTTTATTTCTTTTATTATAGAACATAAGTATTTATTGTGATTGCGGTGTTCCTTCCTCTTCGTAACACTTGAGCATAAACTCAGCACATCGAAAGGAGGTGGGGTTGCTACAATAGCGTTGCTTTGATAATGTTACACTTGTGCTTTCAATTTAGGATGGTGGCATAGACAACGATTGCATTTCTTCTATATCTTCATATTTTTTCCAGGAGGCAAAATTGGTTCTTGATGTAATAACACCGGGCATGAAGTGAACTGTGTAATGAATTGTAGAAGTAGCAAAACATTAACCTAGTGAAAGGATTATGACACTTGAACCTAGACCCGACACATCTTAGGAGGTCAATACCAGAAGCTTCCCAACTTTATGTTAAATACCTTGAGTATTAGTTAGGAGTGACTTCCTTGTGGGTTAACCATAGCCCTTTCTATTTGTTCATTGGTCCTTCACTCTTTCATGGTCTTATCAAATCAAATTTTTTACTCATGAATTCACTCAAAATTTTAAATAAAAATTTTAGTCAAGGTTGAATATGACATAGTATGAATAAATTTGGTTTAGGACTGGTTAGCATTGATGCATGATCGTATAGGTTATATAGGAATGACAAATTGTCGAGAGTACTGTTATCGGGATCTAAAAAAATTGACATAATTTATTGACATAAAAATGTAATAGTGATATTGTCTAACAAATAATATTATTTAGATATAAAAATTTAACTTAATTTGTTAACTTAATGATGTTGTTTTATTAGAACTATTGAATTAATACTAAGTTTCAATGTTTGATAGGATTCGTAACCAATTTAAAAATTAGGTTAGCAAATTAAATTTCAATAGGATTGCCCTTGTCCTATAATATTGTTGTAATTATAAATCTTAAATTTCTTGATTGAAACTCTTTTATTTAATATATCATTATGTCAATTCATCAAAACAATTTTTTAAATCCTAATAATAATTACTCAATTATCAATCATTTTCTCAACTGCCTCTTCTAATCCAATTAGACCTCAATTAGGCAGACTAGGGGAAAAATATCTTATAATAATAATAAGGGCAGCCAAAATGAAACCCAGTGGCCGAACGCAAGCTCAACATGATTAAAATCCATATTAAATTCGGATCAACTTGTATTACTTCATCTCAAAATCGCAATCAAGAAACGTCAGCAGCAAGCACTTTACTTTGTATACCATCCCAAGAGCAAAAGAAAACAATTTAAAGGATATATCTAATATTAACTCTCATAAATATTCTAATTTATATCTAATCTTGACATAAATGATCTATTTTTAATCGGACCGAAAAAAAATAAAATCAAGATGATCAAAACTTTTTTTGTTTTTTGGCTTTTTGTACACCAATGTTGGACTTCAAGTAAACATCAATAGCTTTCAATATTAAAAGGACAGCCAGATACATAGATTTGTCATAGGATCTGAAAAAACAAAATCACATATTCACAGCCTTATCCTGCCTGCAGAACTGTTTTGGCGACTCGAATCTGACACCCAAACTTCAGAAACTTACAATATCGTTGCATTTAATATCATCGCGTCCTCTTCTCAACAGCTGCATAATTGTAACTGTTTCGTGTTCTTAAGGGGGGGCTTCGGTGATGCGTGACTGGCTGGCATTTGGACAAAGCGGAGTTTTATAGGATGATGATGATGATGAGCAGGAGGAGGAGGAGGAGGAGGAGAGGAGGAAGCGCATGGGAGTGAGAAGGATCAACCTTCTTCTGATTGTCACCCAACTCATGCCTTGCTTGGCAACCTTGTCATTCCACTCCACATGACCGTTCGGTTCTATACAATTCTTCCCATCCCTTTTCCATGAGGAAATTCATGTATTACTTGTGTGGTCAGCCACACTCCAATCTACAAGTTCTAAGTTCAAGTGCATCAGTAATTTAAGTGACGTATCAGTGACTAACAGGTGATTGCGAGTAGCTGTTGCAGTTTCAGCAGAAAGACGTCTCTTTTTGTCCAAAAAGAAAAGAGGAAAAAAATCTGTACAGTGGTATCTCAACTATTTACCTCTCTCTCTCTTCTCTCTAACTGGGGGCATAACTGGCCCTATCTCTTTTGGTTCAATAACCCAACATCTCTAGAGTCTAAGCTACGTATCTCTTTTGGTCCCCTCTATAAGCTTCACCCAACACCCTATCTTCATTCCTCTGTCGAATCCAAAGCTACAAAGTTCGACAAATTTTCACAATTCAGAACCCTCTGCAAAGCGTAGTTCAAAATTTCAGCTCATTCCCATGAAGAAACCCATCATAAAAAATTAGTAAGAGTTAGTGAACATTTGCTATACCTCATCAATAAGCCTCCTACATTAAAGCCCTTCTAATAGGTGTAAGAGTTCAAACATCATTTTTTTCATCCGTCAGTTCTCAAATCTGCCAAGTTCTTTAATTTACTTCAAGACTGTGCATCATCAGCATCTGAATCGCTCCCAGAAGAACTCCCTGAACCAGAATCTGTAAAACAGAACCTTAAAATCATAAACAATCTGGCAACTAATTTGGCACCACAACTCCAAGAAACAAAGTGCATGGTAAAAATGTAGTAACACAAGATTCAGCACCACTTGAAGAGGATGAGTCACTGCTTGAGCCACTGGAACCGCTAGAACTACTATTAGCATGACCATGATTTTGATCATAACCACCTTCATCCTTCTCAATCTCCACCGATGGGAAGTTGGTTGCAGGCATATCGTCGTCAATGTCCACATCTTCATCCCCAGCTTCTCCTTTCTTTGGCTTCTTTGTCAAATCAGTTCTCTCTCTCATAGGACCCTGCTATTAAAACACATTATTAGCAATCCCAAATCACCAATTACAACATGCTAAAGAATTGAAGAAATATGAAAGTCAAAATAAGCAATAAAAATGATTCACCCTATCAGCTTCAGCAGAAGTTGTGGTTATGGTTCCCGCTCCAGCTGAATTGTTTGACATTAGTGCTTGCCTCTTTGTCTTGCTCGCCATCTTCTTCCAATTAGTCACAAACCGATCAAGCTCCCAAAGGGTCTCTGTATCAAGAGCCTCAATGTCAAGCTCAATTTCATCACCCTCTTGAGCCAAATGCTCATTCCTCTTCCCTATAATCTGCACCAATTGAGGCATCTTTTCTTGAGGCAAACTCTGCAACCCAATTCCAAGCTTTTGCTTCTCCTCCATACTCATCTCTCTCTTATTGGGATCCTTAGCCTTTGGCTTCGGCTGCTTTGTGGAAGATCCTCTCACAGCCACCGGTTTCCCAGGAGGCGCTGGCATGGAGGATGGAGAGGGCACGGGTGATTGCACCGGAGCTGGGTTCAATGGAGAATTTGACGGGTTTGAGGCACTTGACCCACTTTGCATTTGGTCTTTTTTATTTGAAATTGGGGGTTTGGGGCTCGTTTCCGATTTCTTTACTCTTTCTGGGGTTGGAATTTGACTCCAAGAACTACCTTGCAACTCATCACCAACAAAGCCACGATCCTCTTCTTTCCGATCACCACCAATCTTCTCTTGTATGGGTCTAAACATATCCTCGAATATACCAAGTAGCTGCTCGGCCATGCCGTTAACTTCATCGGTCTTCGGATTATACAACAAGGCATTATTAAATGTCAATCTCACATCAGCAGCAAAATCAACAGGCGAAACAAACAAACCTTTCGCCAAATTCCCTTTCACTGTGCCAAGATCCATCGGCTGCTTAATTATCCGATGGTAATCATGAAGCCCCAAGGCCACAGCATCCACCGGTTTATTAAAAACCCAACCAAATTTGTGCTTCATCAACTTCGTCAACACTTGCCTACACATCTTCATCAAACCCTCTTTCCCATTTCCACTCATATGACCATTCTCAAATTCCGATGTTTGGCACAATCCCTTCAAATCTTTTTTAGAACCACAAGGAAACGGTCGCTTGCTTCCAGATAATTTCTTTATTTTACCATGAGATCTGGGTTGGAGTTGTCCGGAATCGATTTGATTATTCAAGTTTCGGATCCGTTCCAACTCCGCCACCAAACGCTGCTTGAGTTCGCTCAACTCGCTGTTCGAACACGAAGCTAAGTTGAAGCTAATGTATCCACCGTGATTGAAACCATTCCGGCTAGTACCCTCAACCGATCTCTGGTTGAACGAATAGGCATCATCAGAGGTGGTCTGAGTAACGACCGTAGAATCGTCGGCGTGTTGGCCGTTAGCTGTGTTGAATTTGTGTTTATTCTTAGGGTTAGGGTTAGGTTTCGGGTTTTTTAAGTGAGGATTGGAGTAAGGGAGTTTCGCCATTAATCCAACAGCACTAGATTGGCCCCAGCTCGATTCATTCCCGCTAGCTAAAACGGCGGCCATGAATTGCAGCGGCGTGGTTGAACTCCGGCAAATCTCCGGAAAAATCGATCGGATGAAAGAGAAAACATGAAATTGAAGACGTAATTCACCGGAATCTAACAAAAACTCCGATGACCGCCGGAGAAAATTTATCTGCCAGAGAATCAGAAGACGAAGGGTCGTAGGCTCAGGTGTTTGAGTGAAGAATGAAAGATACAGGCAACCCTTCTTAAAGACGATGAGATCTGCCCGTGATAATGTCGGGCAGTTTTTGGGCCGTGGATTGTACGGCAACTGGTTATCGGACGGTGGACGTGCTTTTGTTTGTTATCGGAGTTGGTGACCCAGGCATCCGTCATGTACGGTGTGGATGGAATTAGGGATGAAACGTGGCGGAATTTGGACCGTTGGATGAATATGGTTTTGCTGGGAGAAAATGGTGTCACATTTACACGTGAGTTTGGAGTGAATTTGGGTCGCATGTGTCTCAAAGTTAGGGTTTTTTTTTTTGGGATTGTGGGGCCTAAACGATGGTGACGTCGGAGAGGGGGAGACACGAAGGAGAAGAAACGATGTTGGCATGTTAGGAAGTGATGACGTGTCAGGATGATTTGGTCAAACTAACCTCGGTTTGGTTTGGTTTGGTTTGGTTCCGAGGAGAAAATATTCATTACAACCACGACGGTACGTGGCAATGTGGTGTGATGTTATTAATCAATAATTTTAGATAAATAAGTAAATAGACTCCACAAAAATATATAATTAATTTACTTTATAATCAAATAACTATTCACTCTTTCTCTACATAAATTCAAAAAGAATTTAATTTATCCACTTAAAATTTTATTATTGATTGACAGTTGCATTGAATATTTACTCAATTCCAAGGAAAGAAAGTGAGTAAAAACTCAAATTTCTTTGTACAATGTTTGGATTGAATCTCCATAATTATGATAGTTCAATGAGGTTAAATCAATTCTTCAATGTTCAGAGCACAAGATGACACCTTAATTTTGGCCTTAACGCAAATGCAATGGAATCTCCTGATTTGTATATTACTGATGGACAATGTTGTCTAACAGATATATAAAGTGACATATATGCATATTTATTTAATATATAAAAAAAAAGTTGTTTGACAGATATATAGAATTACCTATATGCATATTTGTTTAATATATTAAAAAAAAAAAAAGAAGTAATGGATATTTATAAGAGTAATGTTAAATTGATAAAGAAATTAAAACTAATAATTATGTGATATTATTATAATAGTGCTATTAATTATATTATTACATATTTAAATTTTAAATTTATTTCATTATAATAATATCACATTATTTAATCTATATTTGTAATTTATTTTTTTAATCAATGTAACACTAATATCATATTTTAAGATTTTAAATGAGATTTTTTGTCCATTATTCTTTTCCAAATAAAGATAATCGTTATTCTAACGGCGAGGTGAGGCCATGTGAGTTGAATGAAAATGTTCAAACCTTAGAGTATCTCTGACAATACTATCTAAAATAGGAACTCAAAATATATTTAAATATTATATTATCTATTTTAACTAACTACTTTTTAAATTCACTCCAATAATACTATCTATTTTAGTTAACCATTTTAACTAACTTTCAATAATAAAATTCAAAAAATAGTAATTCAACTATAAATTGTACAAATTTAATCAATTATAAGTTACAAGAGAGAACTCACCTCCCGAAAATCACTACTCTCAAATCAAATTCTCTCAAATTAAATCACAAAATTTAAAATAAAATCACCTCCAAACTTTTGAGTTTGAGCAAACTAGATGTCATTGTTTCTCCATCGATCGCCTCATCCAAACACTAGACCAACAACTTTTGAAGTAGTTAGAAAGAAATAACTAGCTAGACGTAGTTAGTGAAAATGGGGTTATGAAAAATAGATAAGGGAATAACTTATCTGTTGAAGCCACATTTTAAAGATAAACTATCTAAAATAGCTAAAAAGGGAGTTTCTAGCTAACCTTTTGGAGTTGTTCTTACTCAATAAGAAACTCCAAAGGCTTGTTTGTTTTATGGGTTTATGGGATTGGTGCCTAGGATTTAAGGAAAATAATGTATAAGACTCCTAAATTTTAAATATTTTCTATTTTATCTTGCTTAAATGTTCCTATTTCTTAATATAAATTTTATTATAGGAATTGAAACCTGTCTTGGGTAATTTCTTTTCTTAGTAATATTTTATCAATATTCTTGTTTTATTTCATAAGATAGAAAGGAAAAAAAAATCAAATATGATATCCATAAAGCAAAAAAAAATGTACGTAAACAAACATAGGTATAAATTAGATTGTCCAAGGGATAACATAGTCATTTACAGGATAAATGATTATTAATAATTATAATATATCTATAGGTATTACATGTGTGCGTTACATACCAAACATGAGTATGAATTGAATTTAATATTGAATTACATCTTTGTAAGGAAGGGTTTGAGTTTAGAAGGGTTTGGAGAATCAATCCAAACTCTTCCCAAAAATCCATCTAAACAAACTCCAAGGAGTAGTTCAAGTGAAAAAAAGGGTGAGTCGTAAATTCAGACACCTTGAGTTCGAATCTTGACAATTCTTCAGGATTCTCGCATGAGAGATTTTTCGTTTATAAATATTTTAATTTTGACGTAAATGATTTATCTTTGATCAGACGCAAAAAAATTTAATTAAAGTATAAGTAATTTGATCGGTTTGATAGCAGAATTAAAAAAAAAACTGAAAGTTCTATACACCAATCATTCATCAGCAGTAGCTATCCACAGAAGATATTTATTCCTGGCAAGATTGGATATAGAACAGTGGAAACGAATGGACGGAACATATGGGTCATATGTATGTTGGAAAAAAGGACATTCACTATCTTCAAATCCAATCAGATTACACCCCCCCCCCCCCCCCCCCCCCCCCCCCCACACACACACACACAGAGGCTGTGGCATATAGCAGCAGTTATGTATCTCATGATTGGTAGGATTGGATATTACTCAAGTTTATCTGTAAAATAAAATAAAATATAATTTAAATTTTAAAAGATAAATAAAATAATTTTTATTTTTGACGGTTAAATTTTATTTTAAAATTAATTTAATGACTAATATTAACACCCAAAATTTAATAAAAAAAATAGTCTTCTAAAAGTGTATTTAAAGTGATTTTTTTAAAGTGTTTTTAAAATTTATAACTTCTTATGAGTATTTTTTTTTAAAAAAAATATAGTGTTTATAACTTCCCTACTACCACTGCCACCCCACTACAACAACTACCGCCACCCCACTACCACAACTACCCCCACTCTCACTTTCCCACGACCACCAACACCACTGTCACCACTCCCACCACACTTGTTGCCCCACCACCACTACTTCTACCCCCATTACCCTACCACAATAATCACCACTAATACCACCATCACTGCTGCCATACCCACCTCCATTGCTCCCACCACCATCATCGATATTGTCCCACCATCACCGTTACCACCACCAGCACTCCCCCCCCCCCACCCCCACCTTACCACCACCCCTACGACCATTACTATTATCATTACCACTAGCACCACTGCCACTGCCACTGCCACTGTCACCGCCACCGCTGCCACACCACCATCATCACCCTTACCCCCACCCCCACCACAGATTGTTATCATCGTTGTCCATCACTGCTACTATCGTTATTTTATTTTTATATTTATCACCACTACCACCATCATTTCATTACTATTGTCGTCCACCGTCAGCATCCAATACCAAATATCGTTGCCCACCATCGTCACCAATCACTGTTACCCACTCCAATTATACCTACCTACTACCACTAACAACCATCACCTGTCATCGCCCACCATTGTCACCACGCATTGTCACTCACCATTACCACCGATGCCGTTGTTCGCCACCACCCATCACACTGTCATCCAAAAGTATCAGTCGTCGCCCACCACCACCACCATTGTCACTATCAATCACCATAACCCACCACCACCGTCGTCACCCATAGTTATCGCCACTACCATTATCACCCAAAATTCACTACCACCATTATCGTTGACACCCATGACTGTCACCACCACCACCACAATTGTTGTCATCACCACAATCATTATTGTCTCCCTACCACCACTCACCTCTTACAATCGATGTTTAAATTTTTGAGTATAAATATAAATATATTTATTGTTGATTTTTTTTTTATTACTCCTCGCCTTTAGAAATGGGCAATAACTAATACCTTAATATAGTATCAACGTTTACTTAACCTCCACAAATATTAATTAATAATTATGTATAATCAAATTCATATCAACAAACTCAATAAACGATCAAGCTTGCATGTCAACCTAATTATATCTCAAATTAATTAAGACTCAACTCAGGTATCCACGGAAAAATTTAGAAGGAAAAAAAATGCATTTGATAACAAAAATCAATATCCTCAAAAATTTCATTGCTCAAGTTTAACTAGTAACTTTTCTAATAAATCAAGATTAAATTTTAAAGAATTTCTTTAATCTAAACTTTTATTTAACGAGATTATTTAATAGATGATTGTGTTGAAAAATATCTATGTTTTACTATTTTAATAAGGACGAAAAAAATATCCAATCACACATTCTTCAAATTCATGAATATTATCGGTAAAGAATCAAAAACTGAAATTGCCACTAATTCCTTAATGGTATTAAGAAAATGGTGAATTGCAAAGATTTAAGAATTTTTATTTTACACCATTAAAAATTAAAATTTTCACATTACATTATCAATAAATAAAAAGTATTACAATGTAATCTTTTCGTTAAACTTCCACTGCTCATTCGATTAACATCAATGAGGTGATTTTTAAGCTCTTTTTACAATTATATAGAGAAAATTATCTAACTAGATAAGTCGAGCTTTGTACCAAATGAAATTATTCCATTGTTGTCAAGATATTAAGAATTTGAATCACAAAAACGATGAGTTGCATATAACAATGATGAGAACGACGTGCACTATAATATATATTTTATGGTAAAATATGAAATGCGAATCTATAATATAAAGCAGAGTATATTTTAATAAGGTCATTCGACACTCTTAAATACAATTATCTAACAGCTAGCAACATCTTTCTCAAAATTATTTATATTAATTTTTTCCTCTCAAATCTATTATTATTTCCTTTCAAGCATGAGTTAGCAGGCTAGTGTATATCTTTTCAACTAAAAACAAACAGAAAATCCTACATATCCATATCACTAAAACCACCAGATGGGGTCAAAGCATGCGTCTAGTAGGCAACAGCAGCATAAAGCTGCAAGGCTGCAAATAACAAAAAAAAAAAAAAAAGTTTTGGCTAATAGAATGCAGTAACCCAAATTTTCATCTCAACTTTTTTTGTGACGCGATAGAATCTCAATCATTAAATATTTACGTCAGAAGCGCATAGTCCTGTTTAACGCATATAATTTATTTTCATATAAATTTATTATTATTAAATATATCATTCATTCTAAATTTTAAATAATTCTTTTTATAAATAATATATTACACCTCATCAATAAAATAAATTAAAATGTATTCAAATTACAACCCAAAAATTAAAGAAAGAATTATCCTAATATACTATTATAATAATATTAAAAATTATACTGTCGACTATCATAGTAAAAAAACTAATAAGTAATAATGTTAAGACCACATCACATACATAATAGACAAATTATATTGTCATAAATGAGTCTATAATGAATTAAGTTGGATTCATTCCAAATTATGTTAATCCATTTAAAATATACGAGTTAATCAGGTCAAAATCAGATTAACCTAATTTTAACATATACCCGACATAATTTTTTTCATGTTGAAACATGGAGACCCGTTTTAACCTATTAACTCGTTTAATTTTATGTTCACCTCATTAATTTTGTATTCGACTTGTATCGTGTAAAAAATTGACAGCGCCGCACATATATCAATACTATATAGTAAATTATGTATATTTTTCGTATGTTGTTTAATTATATTTCTTAATCTTGCAATCTTATCAGATAGTATCTATCCTAATGAGCAAAGACAGTCACTAAGCATTGACAAGAAAAGTTCTCAAAAAGCGTCTCGACATGAATAAGAAGTAATAATGATTAAAGAAAGAGCGGAAAAAAAGGTGCCTTGAGCAGGGTATGGATAAGCATACTTGGGGATATCACTCATCTCTCAAACACAAACTCAAAACACAGCACAAAACATACAGAGAGAGAGAGAGAGATTAGTCTCGTAGAGAGATGGGGAGTTGTTAGATCCGTATATACTTCACAAGTCTACGAGGAAAAAGCAAAAAAAGAAGTTAGTGGAAAGCCCTAGAATATGAATAACACCAATAAAAAAATCAAACATAAAGATGTGAGAGTGCAAACAGTTATTCTCTCTATTTCTCACTTCTATCTTTTTTTTAGTATTATATTAAGAATATTGGAATGAGTTTATGCATGTCTTAATTAATTTTTGATTCGATCTAATTAAAATTAGGTCATTCATGAGTAAATATTAGGTATAAGTAAATATACAAATGGATAAGATGAATTTTACTTGAAATAAAATGATAGGATAGTTGTTTAAATATTATATTTTTATTAAATAATAATAAATAGGATAATAATGACCTAATATCACCTTTATCCCTAAATCTTTTCGTGACTGGTGCCTAGGCCTAGCTCTTTGAGACAGTTATCTAAATCTCTTTCATCTCTATGCCAGACACTCTCTCACAAGTACTCATGTAGAAATATGCGTGGCAGAAGCCTGAGGAGGACACATGCTTGTATTAATCTGTAAACTCCCCTCAATTGGGCTGAAGCCCGTTAGAGTTTGGGCTTCAGGCAACATATGTTTTCCAACATCAATTCCAAGAAGACTGCCCCGACTAATAAAACTTGGGCCTAAATGAACTTCAATAGCCTTTGCCCAGTTAATGAGGAAAGCCATGTCATTCTAGTCGTTGTCTATTCTACTTCACGATTTCATTTATTCAATCCGGGTTCGGGTTGAACTGTGAATCCAAAACCTGAACATAAGTATTACTCAAATTCAATTCGAATTAATATTTTTTTTAGCCTAAATCAACTCAAGTTTTCAAATCCTCAACTCAAAACTTTATTTTTTTGAAAAATAAATCCTTTTCCAATTTAAACTTTGCCCCATATTGTAAGTCTGCAATTAACTTGGACGTAGGTTCATCTTCGAATTAGATTTGAATCCAAGGGTGTGCAAAAAACAATAATACATCTCGTCGTCGTGGAATATGATATAATAACATGTGGCTTTAAAAATGATTTAGAGCTTTTATCCAAATTCATATTATCCGACAAATTTAATTTTTATGACTTATGTCCTCATCTGTTTAAAATCTGCAATCTAGAGTGGTCAAAATAACACAATAAGCTAAACTTTAGCAAATTATATTCTAATTTTGACTAAAATTCATCCACTAATTACTCAATGTCTTTCATATATTTATATTAAGTTTAGATCAGAATATAATTGTATCATATATTGATATTTTTAAATTTAAATTTAAATTCATACATGAACTGAAGATTACAAATTTGAATTATCAACAAAAAATACTTACCTATACCTACCTAATTAATTGATGGGCAACGTGGAAGAAGGGCACAACCGTATGAGTATAGCCAAGTGGTAAAACATCGGTTTTTGGTACTGACAGACAAAAGTTCGAATCTTTTTACTCCAGATCATAAACACCCGCCCGATCGAATCTATCATGAACAAGCTGACGACTACTGGGGAAGCACTTGACTGTAGTCCTGAGTCCAACTTGCAGCAAGCCAAAAAAGTGTGACTTGAGATTACTTTGCTCAGAGAAGAGAGAGAAGGAAAAGACAGACGACAACAAAAAAATCTTTACAATCGTGGAATCGAATTGTACCATTCTATGTCATTTTCTATGCATGGTCACCAATGTTAAATAATTCAACCATTATATTTTCCAACATCACACAAACTTATTAATTTATATAAGTCTCTTAGCTCTTTCACACATCCCTCTCTTATTTTTTCCTTGTCCACTTTAATTTTAAATTATGTAATAAAAAAAATTATTATTTAAAATATAAATATTATATGATCAATACATAATTTTTAATATTATAAAATATTTTTAAGTACGAAACTATTACTAGTCCACCTATATCGGCAAATAAATATCAAATATGACAATAGTAGGTCATGGTTGAAGTCTTGGTCAACCTTGAAACTCGTAACTAATCCAACAAGTAAATTAAATGAGATCTCTAAATTAGGTCTATATAGTATTATTTTATTTTCTTATCATATCAATTAGTACACACTCAAACCTAAACGATTAATAGTGGGCATACTTCAGATATATTCAGATTAGTGTATATATGTCCAAACTAATCTGAATATGTCTGAAGTATGTCCTTTAGTGTACATATATGTGATTTTGACATTAATTGTATTAGTCATTAATAATAAAGTCACAGACAACTATCAAAATATTAAAATTTGTTGGATCAATTGTAACTAACTACAATTAACCTCATTTTCAATAAAAGATTATAATTAATCTTTTTTCCAATTGTACACATATATGAATAAAAATTTTAAGGATCATTAAAATAAATAGAATAAATGTATCATTTTATTTTTTTTATCAATTACAATAAAACGTGTTAGAGTTTCCACTCTAGAATATTTTTTTGGCTCTATCACTGCACCCATTTATCTTCTTTTCTTGAAAGATTACCTTTCTTATATTTAAATGAGAACCATTGTAGATAAGTTGATCTTTTCATTAACATTGATGACAAATAATTCACCAAGAAAAAATGTATATGAAAAGGGATCTCTTGGACCGGTCTGTACTGTCATTTATTATTTTTATGAATATTTGTATCAATTTTGTGATATTTACAATCGATCTTAACATTTTAAAATTGATCACAAATACCACAAAATGATAAAAATACCTACAAAAGTAATAATAAATTATTCAAAAAAATTATAAATTTTTTGTTATAAAATGACCTATAAAAATATTTATTAAAATAGTTAAATTTTTGAAGGTACTATACCAAAAAAATTTTATCGGTACCCTAGGGAAGTCCATCCAATAGTATGACATTGGCTGAAAAGTCTTGGTCGAACCCAAACAACTTCCCGCATTACCTGGCGCCACGCCATCTCAAAATTCATCATCAATATAAGGACAAGGACAAACTACCCAATACTCATGCTCTGACTGTGGAATGGATCAAAGTTCAAACTTGAACCTAGAGATAATGGTGGGAGTGGTGGGGTCATTGATGGGTGTTTGTTTCCTGAGAAAATGCACCACTTGTATGGGAAAACTCCTGCTGCCATGCTTTCATTCTTAGCCCTGTCCTTGCCAAAGGCCCCATTATATATTTCCCTAATCTATTTTTTTCCCGTGACTAAAACGTCTAACAAATACCAACACACTCATCAACATCAATCAATGAAGAATAAGAAAAGAGGAATCCACATATCTTAAACGTTGGTTGATAGATATTTCTCTATAAGTGAAATCACTTTTGGTTACTTTCACTATAAGGTGAAAATCTGAATTCTATTGTGCCACGTTGAATTTGCATTCGATTTCAATTATGTTGTTTTGATCTAATGTCGTATATAGCCTCCATATTTATTGCTATATTGAATTTTCCCCTTAACTTTTAAAAAATTTGTGTAGTGGTCCTTTTAATATTTTTCAGTTAAGTTAGTGGCTCGTAAATTCAAAATTATCACCCAAAAGCGATTATTTTTTTCCTTTTTTTTTCAAAAGAATTAATGATGTTACGTGATTGCATACACCAAACGAAAATTGCTGAAAAATTTAGCATATAATCAATCAATTATAGACGATTTTTGCAATTTACAACAATAACATCAATATTCGATATTGAATTGATACTAATTCCATCTCATGCTGGAATTTATTTATATCAAAATCAAATCCAATTCCGTTTTCATTAATAGAGGCTCCGAAAAAATTATGTACTGATTGATTAATTTTTTATTTATATTTTCGCCCCTCTAACTTAAAATTCTGGCTACTCTCCTGGCCTGAGCATGCACAGCTTGGGACTTTCATGAAGCCCCAGAACTTCTCTACCTTATACCACGTTATGTCTATGCTGATCCAAGCATGTTCTAATTCTTTTACTTGTACGCTGCTGCATACATGATTTATTATATATTCTCCATTTTGAACTTTCTCCATTTAGTGTCACTAATGTAAATTATATCTCTATTTATTACCGACGGGTTTTTGATTTAATGGTACTTTTTATCTTGTGAAGGTTTTATTTTTTTGAGGTCAATGATTCACACCCCTTCTCTCCTCCCCCTCCCCCTCCCCCCCCCCCCCAAAAAAAATATATATATATATATATATATGTTTACTGTTCATCAGTATTTGACTTCACGCCTAGGATTATAAGAAACAGTGACTTTTGACTTTACAAAACAAGGGAAGACAGTGCTATAATTCTTTTTTTTTTTGGCCCTATATACCCGTAACCATTTGCGACTGGCACAGGTGGTGGTGTAACATGATTCAAATAATTAGTGATCTCACATAAACAACAAAGTTTTAATTTTCCACGGAAGGTGGCTAGATATATTAAATCTTAGGTGCATATCGCTCTGGAATATGATTGTTTTGGGTTAAGATTGTAAATTCCATATGCTTGGAAGCTAAGAGGGATGTAGGAAGGGGATCCATGCAGTAGGTTGGCCAGGTGAACCGAAGTCTTTGATGTTTACCTTGGAGACTACATCAAGTCTTCTAATCTTTGGGATAGTGATGTAAAAGGGGGTCCCAAACTTCAAAAGTAAGACATTTCAAGGTGACAATTCTAGTAGAGAAAAACTCACATTTTAATATTGTTAGCAGCAAAAGAATGAAAGAGCAACAAACACAGAAAAGAAACAAGATTAGAGACATGAGAGAATGCATACTACACAACCACCATTGGGGTATTTTGTTCCAAACAACTAGAATCTAGAAAGGAGCCAACTTTGGATATGGTTTTCTTTCTTTTATCCGTGCAGTACACTAGTGAGACAATAGAAGCTGCAAAAAGTGAAAAAACATGAAAAGGGAAAAATCCCAAGGATGGAGGAGACAATGCAAAAGTGAAAGTGGCCACACAAATGTATGAGGTTGTCTTCAATGAGACATCTTTGGAGCATCCAAGGTGTTCTATGTACACAACCCCACCCACCACCAAAACCCACCCCTAGTATTCACATTGCAGTGAGTTTCTACTTGTTGGCAGAAAAGTTGGAGAAAATCTTTTAGGTTGGGGAAGCCTCATATTTTTCTGACCTACAAGAACAATGCTTAAACACCCAACTCGTACGAAGCAGACTCACAAGAGACAAAAGGAAGAGATGACTGCAACTAAATGGCTTAGCCTAATAAGTTAGAAATGAATGAGTTTCTCTCGGACTTTCAAGAAAAAAAACTCTTAATGCTTTTTCAAGTTAGTCAAGTCGTATGATCATCACTTAACAATAAATGAAAATAATAATCGGCAAGTGAATAAAACCAACCATATTGGAGCCTCTCATAGATATATAACAACATAAATTAAGATCCACTTGCATATATAAAACAGAGCAACAGCTATAGATGATTTATAATATAAGTAACATGGACGAACTTATTATCTACTAATTGTAATTTAGATATACCATAATCACGCCGTAGTTTGCGAAAACTTGGCAGCAACCACCTTACCACCCTCTTGATTCAGCACTCCAGCTGGTCTCATCTCTGCACTAACCGCCGCAGGCATTGCCTGATACTGTGGCGCCGGTGGCATAACCCCTCCTGCCGCCTGCGTATAGAAAACTTGCCTACCAAACCCATTGTCATACGCCACCTGTGCGTACCCTGTGTCCGAAACCCCCACTCCTACGGTGGTTGTCGGTTTCATCATTCCTATTCCTTCCGAGTACGCCGCCACCTTAGGAGGTGCTTGTGCGGGCAGAGTCGCTGGCACTGGCGCTGCGGCTGACTGTACCGGTGGTGGTGCAGATTGAACAACATTGTAGACTTGCTGGTCTCGATAAACATCCGGTTGCATTCTCTGGACAGCATAGTACCCCTGACCGGTTGGCCCGATCATCGGTCTCCCCATCGGAGGCGGCGGAGCTTGATACATACCCGCTGCCGGAGCTGGAATCATATAAACTGGTTGTTCCATTCCCCAGGTGTTCGACGGAAGTACTCCACCGGCAACTTGCTTTTCCGTCCAGTAACCAGGCATGGTCACCGGTAAATTTGGCGGAGCTGCTTTTTCTGGCACTTTCTGTACATAATAGTCTCCGGTAAAACCTCCAGCTAAATTATCGTCGCTTTTTCTACGATACATCCCTTGCTCTTCAGTGCTTACTCGCAACCTCTGCAAATCTTCAATGTGTTTTTGGATCGGATCCTGTCTGATAACCCGAGGATCAACACAGGGAGCCGGAAGATCTGGTTCGTGAACTGCCAACTCCGGAATCGGATCTCGAACCTTCGCTGCCACAGCCGGCGGTGGCGGTGCTGCCATTCCTTTCTCCAAACCAAAGAAAAAATCCACATTGTTTGGCGGCGCGACCGCCGACAGTGGTGGAGTCGGCTGGATCGGGCCAGAATTCAAAGCCTCAACAAATCTTTCCTTCTCTGACTTGGCCTCATCAGAA